GCACGCACGCACACCGCACGCGCAAGCACGCGCCACGCACACGCACGCACACGCACGCACACGCACGCACACGCACGCACACGCACGCACGCGCACGCACGCGCACGCACGCGCACGCACGCGCACGCACGCGAACGCACGAGCACGCGCGCGCACGCACGCGCACGCAGACGCACGCGCGCGCACGCACGCGCACGCGCGCGCACGCACACGCACGCAGACGCACGCAGACGCACGCACTCGCACGCACACGCACGCACACGCACGCACACGCACGCACACGCACGCACACGCACGCACACGCACACACACACGCACACACACACACACACGCATACACACGCACACACACGCACACACACACACACACACACACGCACACACACACACACACACACACACACACACACACACACTTACATACACACACCACCTTGCACGGCCAGGGTCATCCTGGGCCCCAGGATGGCGTATAGAGCTTCAGGAGGGCGTATGCACCATGCCAGGGCCCAGGATGAACCTGACCCGCCACGGGGGTGGTGTATAGGTTCCTTCTGCAAATTCGATGTCAAAGTCTTGGGCCGTTTTTTGGTCTCTCTTCTTCGTAGGCCTCATTCGACGCCCTGGTGGCTACAGCTGGATCAGCCTCGATATTCTGGCCAGCACGCGCCCCAGGACAGGTGCGCGGTTCGTCGTGGTCCTCCTCAACCCCCTCCCCCCTCTTCCTCCTCCTCCTCCTCCTCCTCCTCCGCTTCCTCCTCCTCCTCCTCCTCCTCCTCCTCCCATCCTCCTCGTGCTCGACCTTCAACGAGAGCTGCAGCTATGACTGCCAGGCTCCATGCGGAGCGCGCGGGAGGGAGTGTTTGAGAGACGCCGACCGTCATTGGTATTACACGGGCCCTGAGGCTTGTTCCACCGACCCGACCCTGAGAAGAGAACAGCTTGGGCGCAAGAGGCAAAAGGGCGACAGGGGGCCAGGGGCAGCGGCGGCTGGGCGAAAATCTGGTGGCCTTCGGCCCATCCCGCCACTACGCCTGGGTCACGTGAAGGCATAGGGGATATGTTTGGGGGTTCTTGGGGGGCTTTTCGTAGGGTTCCTTGAGGCCTCTGTGGTCCATTGGAGTGTGACTTAGGGCTTCTTGGGTCTTGCTGGGGGCCTCTTGGGGGTTTCGGGTTCGAATCCCCCCTCTGCGAAACTCATCATTTCATTATCGGCCCCTCTCTCGCTTCTTGCTCCTCACCCTTCTCCCTTCCTCTTTTTTTTTTGTTCTCTCTCTCTCGCCCACCCTCCCTCCCCCCTTGCCTCCCTCCCTCTCTTCCCCCCCCCTTCTCTATCTCTCTCTCTCTCTGCCCTCCCGTGGACGGCCCCTCCGCCAGGGCGGTGGCGATGGTAGTGATGGTGTTGGTGTTGGTGGTTGGGGAGGCAGAAGAAACGAAAAAGCAGTCGACCACCACCAGCGGCTCTGGCCGCAAGGGAGCGGTGCCAAGCCTGCACGGTGCCGCACCGTTCTGGAGTGCTCCGGAGCGCTCAAGGGGCTCTCAGGGCAGTGACACGCCAACACACCGCGCTGCAGTGCGATCGCATCGCATCGCATTGCATTGCATCCGCATTGCATTGGATTGTTCTTGTAATGCTCGATTACAGTAGTAGTATCCTCGAATTGTACTGTTCTAACGGTCGTGCTGTAGGAAGAGCGCTGTACCATTGGGGAGTAGTGCTGTACTGTTCTAGCAGTGCAGTATTTCATCACAGTATTCGTATGAGTGGTACTCTACTGCCGCCTGCAGTGAGTGTACTGTTGTACTTCGTAGGAGTACTCCAATGCCGTAGTATCGCAGTATTGTTGTAGTACTATAGTACTGTAGTGCTGTAGCGGTGGCACTGTAATAATCGTAGTACAGTACTGTAGCAGTAGTACTGCAGTAGCGGTACTCTAGTACTGGACTGGTGGTACTTTGATACCGTGTTAAGCCGGTCGTAGGACTGCATTAATGAAGTGGCAGCACTGTAGTAGTCCTGTAGTTGCAGTGGTACTAAGCAGGTCTTGCAGGAACGGTCATACTCCAGTATTTGCTGGAGTAGTCGCACTGTAGAGTTGTAGTAGACGTAGTTCACTGCAGTAGTGCTCGATCACAGTAGTAATGCTCTCGATGCGCTGCAGGAATATTGCTTTACAAGTGTGGGATAGTGCTATACTGTTGCAGTAGTTGCGCTGTAGAAGCAATACTCTAATATGATTTTCGTAAGAGTAGTGCTGTACCATTACCTGCAGTGGGTGTACTACAGCGCTGTAGTAGGGGAGTACTCCAACGCCGCAGTTTCGCAGCGTTGTAGTATTATAGTACTGCAGTGCTGTAGTGGTGGCGCTGTAATAGTCGTAGAACAGCGCTCTAGCAGCAGTACTGCAGTAGTAGTACTCGTGATATACTGGTGGTACTTCGATACCGTGCTAAGCCAGTAGTAGTATTACATTAATGACGTGGCAGCACTGTAGTAGTGTTGGTATGCAGGTCTTGCAGTAAATGTCATAGTCTCGTGCCTGCTTTAGTAGTCGTTACTGTCGTATTGTAGCAAGAATTGTCCATTACTTTAGTGCCCGAGGACAGTAGTGTTATCCTCGAACTCGAGTGTTGTAGCGGTAGTGCTGTGGGAAGAACGCTTTACCATTTGGGAGTGGTGTTGTATTGTTATAGCAGTGGCACTGTAGAAGCAGCACTCCAGCACAGTATTCGTATGAGTGGTACTCTGTACTGCCAGCAGGGAGTGTGCCGTATTATCGCAGCGTTGTTGTAGTATCATCATATTGAAATGCTGTTTTGGCGACGCTGTACTAGTCGTAGTACAATACTGTAGTGTTGCAGCAGTGGTATTGTATGGGTGGTATTTCGATACCGTGCTAAGCCAGTGGAAGTATTGCATTAATGATATGGCAGCATTGTAGTAGTCCTGTAGTTCCAGTGGCACTACTCAGGTCTTGCAGTAAAGTTCATACTCCTAATGCTTGCTGTAATAGTCGCGATGTAGTGCTGTAGACGTAATGCACTACTGTAGTACTCGTGCGCAGTAGTAGTATCCTCGAACTGTAGTGGTTGAGCGGTAGCGCTGTGAGAAAAGTGTTGTATGATTGTAGAATCGCGCTGTGTTGAAGTAGTGGTACTGTAGAAGCTGGAGTCTACTGCAGTATTCGCATGAGCAGTGTTGCGCGGTTGTCTGCAGTAAGTGTACGTCAGTGCTGTAGTAGGAAATGTGCAATTCCGTATTATCGCAGCACGGCTGTCGTATTTTAAGATTGTAGTGTTGTAGTGGTGGCACTGCAATAGTCTTCGTACAGCACTGGGGCAGTGGCTTTGCAGTAGTGGTACTCTAGAACTGTACGGTAGTATTCTGATACTGGCAGTCGTAGTAGCGAAGCTGTAACATTGGAGTGCTTAAGCAGGGTCGCCGTGCCCTATTACTGTATTGCCGTAGTACGGGGACTGGACGTGCGAGCGACCGCCAGGCGAGGGTCGCGAAGGGAGGTCGGTGGTCCAGGAGGGCCGGAGAGAAAGCAGGAGAGGATTAAGTCGGGCGTGTCCCTCTACTGGAGGGACTATTCAAAAATAGTTCAAACATAGTCTGGGGACGATTTTCCCATTGCTTTTTTGGGGGCATTTGTTGAATATTTTTTAGTAGACACACATATATGTATACATATATATATATATATGTATACTCGTCCAAGATCCGCCTGTAGGGGGACATGCACAACCTAAGGAGAGGATGAGGCTGGGCCCAAGTCTGGCAGCCAGACTGAGAATTGGAAAAGGGCCACCGTCGTGCTTTTTTCGTGGCCCGATGGGGGTCTGTTAGGAGAGAACGATAGGCACATTCGCGATTAAACGTCGATTCTCGGGAGGATATAGGACCACATGGGACGTGGGTGGGGAAGACGGACCTCTAGAAGATCTTGGACAACATGGGGAACCCTAGGACCTGTGCCTCTTTCTTTGTGTCTCCCTGGGTCCCTTCTTTGAGCGACGAAAGAAGACGGGGTCGTCTGCGCCGACACTGGCGCGTAAGCTGCCCGCGTAAGGTCGCGCGTAAGCGCCCTCGCTTCAAATGTGGCGTGCCGCGCGGGCGACCTTTTCGTTGGGGAGGGGCTCAGTGCTCTGGGTTGTTCTGCAGTTTGCCCCAGGTTGCCCTCAGGCTGTCCCAGCTGAACTTTCTGAAAAACAGGGCTTCGTCCCTTACTTCGGGCTCCTCATGACAGCGCTTCGACTGCAGTCTGGGCAGGCGGCGCCCCCCGACCGCGCACCTTCGCCGCCCCTGCGGCGGCGGCCCGCCCGACGCGCCGCGCCGCGGCCCTCGCCAGGATCCCGCGCGGGCGCCGCAGCCCCAGGCGCTGCAAGGCCGGGCCCCGGCGTGGCCTCCGCGCCCCGCCGCCCCGTGGGCCGGGGGTCCCCCCTCGAGGAGGAGGCGGAGGGCCCAGGCTCGGACGGGGCGAGGACGGGGAGAAGTCCGTTCCAGAGCGTTCTGGAAGGAGCCCAGGCTCGGACGGGGCGAGGTCGGGGAGAAGTCCGTTCCAGAGCGTCCCGGAACGCTCTCGGAGCGCTCGGGTACGCTCGGAGAAGGCCGCGGCGCCCGAGACATCGATTTCAAGATATCGCATGTCTGAGATTCTGGCGTCTCATTTTTTTCGAGCCGGGCGGTTTTGACCGCTTTCAGGCCCTGGGGACCCTCACAGATTGATCCAGCTCAGAAAATTGTGCAGAACGAGGAGTCCGGACAGTCCGGGGCTCCTGTCGTGGTTTTGCACGATGATGTTTTCTTTTCGCTGTCAGATCTCAGGGGAAGGCGCGGTGCTTGCGGAGGTTCTATTGGGGTATATAATGTCGCGGTGTGTTTGGAGTGACCTTCTCGGTGTCAGCGTTGGCGACATAAGCAGGTTAAGAAGCTCCTTGCCTTGCAGTCAGATAGAGATAGTCGGTAATAGTACATGCGATCGCATGCTACCATATCGTAAGCGCACACGTGCGCACGCGCACGCGCTCTGGATGGGGTTCGGGTTCGGGCTCGGTCTTAAGCACACGCGCGCCAAGACACGAGCCCACGCTCACGCACCTGTGTACGCTCACGCATGTTCGCAGACGCACGCACGCGCGCGCACATGCACGCACTGCCCCGGTTTGAGAGCGAGGCGTGAGTACAATGCTAGGACCCCCACCCCTGGGCCCTGGGCCCCGTCCCATCGCCCTCCCCCCGCCCTATTTATTCAAAACCCTCAGCGGGGTGAGGTTCCAGCGTCCAATTTTTACAAGGGAAAGTTGCCCCAGCAGCTTATGCTGACAAGACGGCTTAGCTCCAGCACTCAACTTCTACGAGGGAAAATGCTTCCAGCGGGCTTCGGCGTGGGTCCCAATATTCAAGTTGTCGACGGAAAGTTGTTTCAACATATTGTGCCGACGAAGAGGGTGGACTGTCCTCTGAGGGGGCAGCTAGAGCGACCCGCGTCCCAGCTGCGAACCCTCGTACAGTCCGTCAAACAATCATTTGCAACACATTCACCTAAGTGACGGGAACACAACAGCGTCAAGTCTATTTTGCATGGTTGTGCTTACGGGTCGAAGAATGCGGCGCGAGAGCACATGCAGAAATCATGGGCCACTGCTACGAACTCGAGGGAGGTTGCGTCCGGTTTGGAAAGGGCGTGCGACGGAACTGGGGATCGCGGTGACCGCACGGTTTTTTGGGCTCGGTACCTTCTCTCCGAGGGTGCCTCGGGCGACCGCGGCCTCTGGGGTCCCGAAGCCGTGCGGCGACGGACCGTGCAGTGATTCCGTGGTCGGCGTCGCCCGTCCGTCGCCGCCTCGTCGCCGCCCCATCGTTTGGGCCTGGGTGCCAGTGTGGCGGCTCCGTGGTCGGCGTCGCTGCTTCGTCGCCGCTTCGTCGCCGCCCCGTCGCCGATTCGTCGCCTCCCAGATTGCACGACGTAGACAGCGCCACTTAGATATTCCTTTCGTGAGGGGAATTGGATGATCCCCCCACCCCTTGGGATTCTTCGCGCCACTCTTCGTATTGCAATTACACATGATTCTGCCCCATCGTCCATCCTAAATATGAACTCGCAACTTCCCAGCCCAAGCGGTATCGACCCCCTCGTCATCCATAGTCAAAAATTATGCGCGTGCACTCGTCCATCACAAATCTTCAAACATCCATTGGGACAACATTGACGAAGTACGCGCGTGACGTCACGCGCGCATGCCGAAATCTTTCAAACACCTTAGGTTTGGTAGAGATTTCAAAATCAAGGGGCCCAAACACATATAAACACATTGTTTCGCAAGAATTTGTTTCAAACAACCTTCGCGCTCGCGCTCTTGCGAAATATCGAGAGAGCCATTTGTGTTCAACATCTTCTTCACATGCTCCAAACGGGCTTCGCGCGCGTTCGAACGCCCTTGCGCGCGTGCTGTCGAAAAACACCTTTGCAACAGACTGGACCGAGTGCACCCGCACGCGTCGTCACGCGCGCATGCCGCAATCCGTCAACAAATTATGTTGCGTAAGGATTTCAAAACCCAGTGTCCCGAAACCTGTTTTGAAAAGAAACACGTGGTTTCGCAACATCAGTTTTCAAAAAAGCCTGCGCTCGTGCTCTTGCGAGCCCAGAGGATTTTTCAACCTGTTCATGGACAGCTGCCAAACGGGCCTGTCGCGCCGCATGCCGAAATCATTCGAACGCCGTTGCGCGCGTGCTGGGGGGCAAGTTCCGTGTCAAATAATACCATGCGGGCCACTCCCGCGGGTCGGCCGCGCGCGCAGGTCGAACTCCTTCCAAAACGTTCAGCGCCGACGCGAGGACGCCGTCATCGTCGTCGGCGTGATCAGCGTCGGCGCCGTCACTGGCCGTGCCGTCTCCGCTGTCATCATCGTCGCCAGCACCGCTACTATCATCATCGTGTTTACCATTGTCGACGTTGCCATGATACCGCGCCCGCTCGAGTCGCCGATTCGCCGTGAAGTGCCCTCTTGGATGTGCCTAGCGGCCAGCGCCACCGCGTCCGCGTCGGTCGCGCCAAGCTAGGTGGAAGTTGCGCTCGCGAGCATGCGCGGGCCAGCGCGGCCGCAGGGATGCACCAACCAACACCAAGCACTCATCGCAACCGCCGCCGCATGGATTTTGCAAATCAAGTTGCGGGTGGGTGGGTTGGATGATTGCGCGGGCAGCGGAGTTGACATGTGACGGCGATCGGAAATCAGGAATCGGTTCACCCCCCCCCCCGGACTTAGCCATCCAGCTTTTCGTATTGCAATTTGCTCATGATTCTGCCCTATCGTCCATCCGAAATATGAATTTGCTCTATCCCAGGGGTGCCGGTATCGCCCCCCCCCGCCATCCTCTGCAACAAATGCTTTGCGCGCGCACTCGTTTATCACAAATCATAAGTTTCCGACGATAATACTTTGCAACAAGTGAATCGAAGTGCACACGCACGCGTCATCGCGCGCGCATGCCAGAATTTATCACAAACCACCGGTTTCGAAGGGATTACAAAATCGAGTTGTCCAAACAACGTACTAAAGCACAATGTTCAACAACACTGATTGTATAAACAAAAAGCTTACGCTCACGCTCTTGCGAAATTTCCGCACAACCATAGGTTTTCCAGATTTTTCAAAACATACAACCAAACGGACTTCGCGCGCGCATGTCGAAATCGTTTGAACGCCCTTGCGCGCGTGCCGTCGCGAGAATATTCTGCAACAGATGAGACGAAGTGCGCGCGCGCGTCGTCGCGCGCGCATGCCGGAATCCTTTAATAACCCATGGTTTCGGAAAGATTTAGATTTCAAAATCGGGTGTCCAAACAACAAACAAATAAATAGGGTTTCGCAACGCGGGCTTTCAACAATAACGTGCGCGCGCGTTCTTGCGTCGTCGTCGTCGTCGTCGCCGTCCTCCCTCATCCCCCGTCGTCGTCGTCGTCGCCGTCGTCGTCCTCTGTCTTTCCTCGTCGTCGTCGTCGTCGTCCTCTTTGCCGTCGTCGTCGTTTCCTTCGTCGTTGTCGCCGTGGTCGTCCTTCCTCCTCCCTCGTCATCGTCGTCGTCGTCGGGGACGTCCGTCGTCGGCGTCTCGTCGTCGTCCCTCCTATTCCGTCGCCGTCGTCGTCGTCGTCGTCGTCTTCCCTCCTCCCTCGTCGTAGTCGTCGGCGTCGCAGTCCTCCCTTCTTCGTCGTTCGCGTCGTCGCCGTCCTCCCTCCTCCCTCGTCGTCGTCGTCGTTGTCGCCGTCGTCGTTCTCCCTCCTCCCTCGTCGTCGTCGTTGTCTTCGTTGTCGTCGTCGTCGTTTTCATCGTCGTCGTCGGCGTCGTCGTCGTCGTCGGCATCGGCGTCGTCGTCGTCGTCGGGGTCGTCGTCGGAGTCGGCGTCGGCGTCGGCGTCGTTGTCGTCGTTGTCGTCGTCGTCGGTGTCGTCGTCGTCGTCGTCGTCGTCGTCGTGGTGGTCGTCGTGGTCGTCGTCGTCGAAATCGTTGGAGACGTCGTCGGTGTCGTCGTAGTCGCGGTGTCGTTGCCAAGTGCCATTTGGTGCCTACCGTCACGGTCTTAAGAGATCTTGCGACCACGTTGCAGGTGGGAGGGTGGGATGTTTGCACGAGAAGTGGAGAGGACAGTTTAAGTTGAGCAAGTGATTATTTCACCACGTAGATGGCACCACGTAGGGACCACATTTCTTGCACTACATCTTGCACAACACACATATTGCACCACGTCGATAGCACCACGTATTCTCACTACAAAGATGGCTCTACACATATTGCACCATGTACATTGCACAACATGTGTTGCATCACGTAGGTTGCAGCACATCGCGTAGGTTGAGCCACACAGATTGCACCACATAACTTGCACCACGTATGCACCTTCAGCATATCGCACCACGTATATTGGGTTGCACCACGCACATTGCACATGTCGATTGCACCACGTATATTGCGCACGATACAGGAGAACACAACATGTATTGCACGATACGCAGCACATGTTGCACCACGTAGGTTGCACCACGTATATTGTCCCACGCAGATCACACACCATATATTGTCCAGCATTTATTGCACCACATATATCGTACCATTTACATTGCACCCCATAAATTGCTCCACGCAGATTGCGCACCTTACATTGCACAACATATGCTGCACAACATATACTGCACAACTTTTATTGCAGCAATATCGTTATGATGGCGGCGCATAAAACGATGGGGAGGAGGTGGAGGAGGAAGGGCAGAATAACGAGGACGAATGCAAGGACGATGAGGACAAGGTGAAGGAGGAGGAGGAGAAGGAGGAGGAGGAGGATCATGCCAAGGCTGTGCTGTATGTCAGCGCTCATTTTGCCAGCGTGCACCGTGTGAAGTTCGGCACCGAAAGGCTCTCTAGACTGACACTTTTCGTCGTCTATCTTCGCCACTCGGCATCACAGCTTCTTCTTAGAGCAGGAGCCACCGCCCTTCGCGATCTTCTTCCTCCCTGATCCTCCTCGGCGCGGCCGCTAGTAGACATCGTCGATTAGTCAGTTTCCCGTGGTCTGTTGCAACGCTTTCCTTTCTATGCGCAGATCTAGGTTTTCCCCGCGCTTCGTTCCCACTCTGCAGTACCCCGCTCGGTACACTTAGCAGGCCCTGTCCGTGTCCCCTCTCGTGCTGGAAGGCGTCTGACCAGCAGTAGCGGCGGCGGCAGAAGCATCGGCAGCAGCAACAGGGGCGCCAGCAGCATCGGCGAGTGGCGACCAGACTTCCACTCGCCCACACAGCTTCTTCGCCCCCTGGTCCTCCTGCTCCCACTTCTCCCCCTCTCCTGCTTCCTCCGCCTGGTCCTCCGCTTCCCTCCTCTTGTCGCCTTTTCTCCCCCTCCTCCCTCCTCCCTCCTCCCCCTTCCCTCTCCTCTCCTCGTCTACTGTCTACTCTCCTCGTCTGCTCTCCTCGCCTCCCCACTCCGCTCCACCTCCCCTCCTCGTGGTTCTCCTCCTCTTCGCGGTCCTCCTTCTCGCCGTCCTCTCCTCCTCCTGCCCCTCCTCCTTGGCTGGGTCAACAACATCTGTATTCCTGTCCTCCTCCTCCTCCGCGTCCTCCTCCTCCTCCTCCTCCTCCTCCTCCTCCTTGGCGAACTGAAGGTGCTGGCCTGTAGCGTTTGTACGATAATAATCCGATGTAGACATGTGTCACACAATTTAGGGCTGCTGCCAGTGCAGGCGCAGGAAGGGCCAGAAGAGTGGAAGAAGAGGAAGTGCCCTGAGGGCTCAGAGTAACTGTCCTCCTGACCCTGGTCAGAGTGCACCCTGGGAGAGCCGAGCCACCGCCGCCGGCGCCGGCGCTGGTTGCGGCGCCGCCGTCGTTGTCGTCGTCGTCGTCGTCGTCATCGTCGTCCTCGTCCTCGTTCTCGTCCTCGTCCTCGTCTTCGTCCTCCTCCTGACAGCCTGACAGCCTGAAGGCACGAATGGTCGTCGACCGTTGCCCTCCCCCCCCAGGACCGGTCGGACCTTGGGGGTTGATCAAACTAGTGAGCCAGATGAGTGTTGGGTAGGTTTCGCTGGAAAAGGTAGGAAGGTACAAGACAGCAGAACGTGGGGAGGAGAAGAGGAAAAATGAAGCATCATAACCTGAAGAAGGGGGGAGAAGGAAGGGACTGAGGCGGCGGCGACAGTTGCGAAAAGGCGGTGTGGTTGCAGCCGTTGGCGCGGCTGTGTGGCTGAGAGGTGGCGGGCCAAGCTCGCCAAGGTGAAAGGCTCAGGGGCCTCTCCCCCTTGCTCAACGGAATCCCCTACAGGCGTCCCCCGGTCCAACGACGAGAACCCTCACCTGCGAGCAGGCGCAGGGTTCCCAGTACGTGGGGGGCGGGGGTCCACCGAGCGCGGGGGAGGTTTGAGGCTTCCGCGGCGATGGCTTTCCGAGTGTGGCAGGGTCCACGCTCGGCAAGGTGGGAGGCGCAAGGGGCCTCTCCCATCTGCTCATACAACCCCCCGACAGGCGCCCCCCCAGGTCCCACGACGGGGACCCCGATATGCAAGCAGGCGTAGGGTTCCCAGTATGTGGGACTGGGGGCCGCCTGGGGCGGCGTTCTCCGAGCGCGGGGGAGGCTTGCGCCTTCCGTGGCGGCGGCTGTCCCAGTTGAAGCCGTCCCCCACCCCGCCCTGCAATCCCACCCCCACCTCGACGGTTGTTTCGGCGGCAGTGCTGGGTAGACAGAGCGGTGAGATGGGCGAGGCAGTGTTACCCGTTTGCGTGGTCGTTTCTGCTGGCCGCGGCCGTCTTGGTATTCACCAGAAGGCCTGGCGGTGATGCATCGTCCCCGTCCCCACCTGAAACAGAAGTGCCTCCCCATCCATCCCGCCGCCACACGAGTGGTAAGGAGTAGGTTGGAGGTGGCATGCGGGGGGAGCGGGGGCTACAAGAAGGGGAGCCAGTATGGAGTGAAGATTTGGTGAGGGCCTCAAGACCAGTGGAAAGGAAGCTCTTCGTGTTGCTACCCCGAGGCCCCAGCTCGCAGCTGGTCATTAAGGCCCCCACCAAGGGGGGCGCATGAGAGAGTTCTATCCCCTGGTCTAGTGTAGCTTTCACTTTCGCGGCACGTTGGTTAACTAGCATACGCGGGTGAGAAAGCTATGAAGGGTTTTGGAATCCTGTATTGCCGTGCACCCACTGCACAGCATGGCCTGTTGTAGTTGTGCTCGCCGTATTGCTGTGTAGTTGTGCTCGCCGTAGGATGCCCGTATAGTTAGGCGTATGCCGTCGCCTGGGAGAGGTGGATCGGAAGTCCGAGAAGGTAGGTAGTCAATGTGGGCCAACTGTTGTTGCTGCTGGGCGTCCAGTAAGTGCGGCTGCTTGGTGAACAGTGCCGAGAAGTGGACATGGGAATGAGTGGTCCTCTTCCTCCGCCTCCTTCCTCCTCCTCCTCCCTGTCCTCCTCCTTCTTCCTCCATCGCTCCGACGCAGCTGTCTCGGCCTGGGCCGTCCGAGGCAGCCCTGGCCCTTCGCCGCGCGCCCCCGGGGGCCTCCGGCCAGCTCTCCGCCCCCTCCGCCCCTGTCCTTTGCAGTGCGCAGGCGCCCCGCGGGGGGGTGTTCGCCCTCTGCTGCGCCTCTCCCCGTCCCTCGGAGGAGGAAAAGGTACCCACACCGCTGCCCTTGCCTCCTTTTTGTTCTCTTTTTGACCTCCTGGGTGGCCCTCGTCGCCACCACTGGATTCGCCTCCAAATGCACTCTGGGAGTCCGGGAGGGGTCCAGAGAGTAGCGGTATCGCTACCTTCTGGTTTTCCCAGTCCCCGCTCCGCCAGGAGGAGCGGGAGGTTGAGGAGGAGGAGGATGAGGAGGAGGAGGAGGAGGAGGAGGAGGAGGAGGAGGGGGAAGAGTGGGATGAGGAGGGGGAGGATGAAGAGTGGAAGGGAGGAGGAGGAGAAGGAGGAGGAGGAGGAGGAGGAGGAGCAGGAGGAGGCGGAGGCGGAGGCGGAGGCGGAGGCGGAGGGGAGGCGGAGGAGAGGAGGAGGAGGAGGAGGAGGAGGAGGAGGAGGAGGCGGGGGGGGGGAGGAAGAGAAGGAGAATGCTGATGATAATGATGATGAGGAGGAGGAGGAGGCAGAGGCGGAGGCGGAGGCGGAGGCGGAGGCGGAGGTGGAGGCGGAGGCGGAGGCGGAGACGGAGGCGGAGGCGGAGGAAGAAGAGGAGGAGGAGGAGGAGGGGGAGGGTAAGTAATTAGGAGGAGGAGGAGGAGGAGGAGGAGGAGGAGGAGGAGGCTGAGTCAAGCTCGCTCAGATCGCGATTTTCTCTCGACCCGTGCTCTGACCGCCAGCCCAGGGTACGATTGGCCCATGCCTTCTATGTCGAAAGGATTTCTCGGACAGATGTTGTGCATGGACGGCTCGGGCTTCGACACCTGTTCTCTGTATTGTGCTCGGACGGGGTGGTATGTTGTGGCCATGGGCGAAGTCGGCATGCCCACATGTAGTGAATTCGGATCCTTCCCACAACCTGTCCAAACTGCAGGGGCTGGCGAGCTCTATGCCGTGCTCATGGCCCTCACTCTGGTACGTACGGGAAGCTCCTCATATTGTCGTGCACTCGGACTGTCAGGCTGTCCTGGAGTTGTGGAAACGAGGGCCAGATTCTGATATGAGTGAGGTTGCCTTTTCAGAGCTTTGGGTTCAGGTTTTGGGGCTGAGTCCAAGATATAGGGTTCAGTGTTACATGCCTCGGCAACAGGTTTGGGGCCCAGTCCGAGATATAGGGTTCAGTGCTAAAAGCCTCGACAGCAGTTAGCGATGGTCTTGCTAGGCGCGGCGCCCGTATGCATCCCTTCGATCCTTGCTTCAGTATTTTTTTCCGTCGCGGCCGCAAGCGAAAGCGCAGACGGCGTCCGAAGTCAGCCTGGGCTACGAGCCAAACCTAATTACCTAAGCGCGCGAACTAACGAACTTGAGCACGTTCGCCAAGCAGCGTAGTTCGGAGGTCTCAGACTGCGAGAGCCTTATGGCTGGTGCGGCCGACCCTGAAGGGGGACGGCCACGACGACCACGACGCCGACAACGACGACGACGATGGCGACGACGACTACGACGACGACGACGACGACGACGACGACCCCGACGACGACGACGACGACGGCGGCGACGGCGACCGCGACGACGACGACGATGGCGACGGCGATGGCAACGGTGACGCCGGTGACGGCGACGGCGGCGGCGGCGGCGACGGCGACGTCGACGACGTCGACGACGACGACGGCGTCGACGACGACGACGGCGACGACGGCGACGACTACGACGACGGCGACGGCGACGACGACGACGACGATGACCACGACGACCACGACGACGACGACGACGACGACGGTGACGACGGTGACGATGACGACGACGACGACGACGACGACGGCGACGACGACGTCGACGACGACGACGACGGCGGCGGCGGCGACGACGACTAAGATGACGTCGACGACGACGACGGCGACAAAAAATATTCAAACACTTCTATTAGGAATCTCATCGACTCTGCCATCTTTGGGTTGACTAGGGGTGCTCGTGTGATTCTCTTGGGCCTGTCAGGGGCCTCTTCGCAGCTTCTCGGGCGCCTCTTGGGGCCTCCTCGGGGCCTCTTGTGACGTTCTTGAGGCCCTCTTCGGCCGTCTGGGGGGCCTCTTGGGCCATCTTGGGGCTGTGTTGGGCCGTCTTGGGGTCGTCTTGGGCCGTTTTGGGGCGCTTCCGTGAGCTTCTTGGGCCGTCTTGATGCGTTGGAAGGCAGAGGATGCGACGTCCTGAAACAAATATACACCGACATGAAATTCATTGATTTTTGCTTTCTGGGGCCCTCTTGGGGCTCCTCTTGGAGCTCTCTTGGAGCTCTCTTGGGGCGTCTTGGGGGTTTCTGAGGCCGTCCAAAGGGTATCCTGGGCCGTCTTGGAGCGATCTTGGATGGTTTCAGGGCCCTCTTGGAGCAAGCCGCAGCACAAGTAAGTTCGAGGCGTTTGGAACGCGGGTGCAGTAAGTTCGCTAAGCAGCGTAGTTCATGTCAGTAAGTATATTGCTTGTTTCGGGGGCTGCTCAGTAAGATGTGTTTTCCAGAATTGCATGCATGTAAGGTCCCTCCCCGCCCAAAGCGGCCTCTTGGGGCTCGTTTTGGGCTTTGTGGGTGGCTCCTGGAACTCACGGGTGTTCATGCGGGCCTGCTGGCGGACTCGGGCGTCATCTTGCGCGGAGGGCTCGACATGTCGGGTCGTGTTCCCCTCTGGGACCCCTCTCGGTGCCGTCTTGGGACATTTGGGTGGCTTCTTGGGCCGTGGCTCAAGTCTGGCTCAAGGTTCGCCTCGTGCGCTCGTTTTTGTTCTTCTCTCGAAGACCCGTGTCCGGGACGCCTTCGAGACCCGTGCCCAGGAACCTATCGTTCATTTCGTAGCCCCGATGGCGCCCTCCAGCGCAGATGGCACACGTGTCCCTTTGAACCTTGAGGCTGAGCTGACGAAAGTCCTGAGCGATGTCGGAGCCCAGTCCCCACCTCCAGGGCCTCGGAGCACTCGCCTTGCAGGTACTCCTGTCCGCGACGTGCTCACCATGAACCCGTGGGAGAAGATGAAGTTCGCCCGCACGGGACAAGGACCCCACTCGCCACTGCTTGGCGAGGGAGCCGAACGAGAGCATGCAGAGGCGACCTACTACCGCATGGATGAGGACGAGGAGAAGGAGGAGGACAAGGAAGACTACATATCCGCGCAGGAGCCGGTGACCATGGCAGCCATGGAGACACTCCTCCAACAGCAGCTCACGCCAGTCACTTCGGCCGTGTCGCAGCTGCAGAAGAAGTGTGCCAAGATGGACACCAACATCACAGACCTGAGCACCGCGCTGTTCGAGCGCCTGGAGTCCCTGGAGAAACGCATCACCGTAACCGACGTGAGGGTGGAGAAGCTCGAGTCGATGTACGAAGACCTGCAGAAACACCAGGGCATGGACGACGACCGCTTCGAGAGTAAGATCCGTGAGTGCATTCAGAAGTATGTGCATGAGACTCCTGCCCAACCTACCTCGAGTTCTCCACCGGGGGGGGTGCACGGACAGGCGGGCCTTGACGGCGGTCATGGGGAACATTGACGGGCTCACTAACTTGGAGGACGCGATGACCTGGACCAAGGACAAGCTGCAGACCTTGGGCGCCCCTCTGCCCACGAAGATCTACAGCAAGGGCGAGTTCAAGGGGATCCTCTTCGCGGAGTTCGTTTCTTCGGCTGAGCGGGATCTTGCTGTTGAGCTACTCCGACGTACGGGCCTGCACACTGGCCAGAAGCGTGTCTGGGCCAGCCAGGATAGGTTCCCAGCAGATCGCGCTGCCAGAAACTATTGATTCGGATTCAAGCGCCTTCTCAAGACGGAGTGTGCCGTCCCGCACGCCATCTCCATCGCGGAGGAGGCCCCGTATATCATGACGGTAGGCGGAGAACATGCTCTGACAGTGCATGTGTCTTCAGACGGCGTTGTCCACGAGTGGCAGGGGGAGTGGGCTACGTGGAAGGAACTGCGCGACCACGCCGCCGTCAAAGAGCTGGGGAACACGTGCAACGACCTGCTGGCCCGGGCGCCCGCCGGCATGAAGGGGGCAAAGGGCATGAAGGGCACCAAGGGCGAGGCCAAGGGAGGGGGGCGAGGGCCCAACAACCATTGACTCGCAGCTCACGGCCACGACGTTCCACCCGCAGTCGGCAATACTGCTTCTATGAACTATCGGTTAAAGAATTTGGATTGCATGTCTAGTGCGCCGGCGTCCGCAGTTGGCTCAGCTGCAGCACGTTGCCATGCGACTTCTTCAACTAACTTGCACGCAACGAGTGCAAGCACAAACGCCACAACACGGAGTTCAAGATGGACAGCTTTACCCAGAGAGGGTGATCCAGACTTCCGAGGTGGGCGTTTGCGCCCTTGCGCTACGGGCGCCGTCGTTGGCTCTCGGAACATCGATGGGGCTTGCAGAGACGAAGCTGGAGGAACTACAAATTCTGATGGGGAGTCTGGGAATGGATGTTTTGGCACTCCAGGAGACACACAAATACGAGTCTACATAGACTGTGACCAACAGGGGCTACTTATAAGTGCTATCTGGAGGTCCTGACGATCAAGATACAGCAGGGGTGGGTTTCTTATTTTCGCCACGCATTCGCGAGAGCATCATTGGATTCCGGGCGATATCCTCCAGGGTCGCCTTCGCCAAAATACGGGTGCGAGGAGGAAAACTACCCATCTTCAGCATGTGCGCGCCCCGCAGCGGCAAGCCAGTGGCAGAGAGATGCGAATTCTACCGCGCTCTGGACGCGATGGTTCGCAACGTGTCCGCGCGCGGAGGCAAGCTATTACTGGGGGATTTCAATGCGAGACTTCATAAGCGTTTTCCTTATGAGGAGGAGTATGTGGGCCCGTGCATCTTTGGCAACCCCGCTGCGGAGTTCAATCTGGAGTCGAACAGGAGCTTCTTGCTGGAGCTGCGCACGTCCCGCGACTTGGCGGTCAGCAGCGCGTTCTTCGAGCGCCGGCCAGAGGGGCAAGTCACATGCTACAATGTCGGGCCCCGGCCATCAGATCCAGCCATGCCGGGGCATTTCGGCCAGATCGACTTCTTCTTGGCCTCGCGCCAGCTTCAAGAACACGTTCGAGACGTTTATTATGTGCGGGGTGCCGCTTTGGCATCACATCACTTCCTCTTGCAATGCTCCGTGCGCATGGACATTCCGAAAGTTGCCCGGCAGCGCGCTGCCCGCCGGGATGTCGCAGCGCTCTCGCGTGGCCCACCGGCTTCTGCATTCCAGCGTGCTCTCGTGGATCACATGGGAAACGGGGGCCCCTTGGAGGGTGCGATAGACCAGCTCAACACCACCATGGTGGGCGCTTTCGTCGACGCTGCGCGGAAATGTCTGCCGGAAGTTGCGGGCGCCCAAAACAGGCCATGGGTCAGTGCGGCCACTCTGCAGTTGATTGCTTTGCGGGGAGATGCGCGACAGAGTGGCGACTACGAGGCTGAGAAGCGATTGCACGGCAGGATCAAAGCTGCTGTGAAAGTTGACCGCAGCAAATGGCTGGACGAAATGCTGGCCTCTGGTGATCGGACAGAGATCAGGAAGCTCAGGAAAGGCCCACCAAAGCAGCAAGGACGCATGCGGGATTCGCGAGGGCATCAAGTGGACAGTGACGAGAGGGCCGAAACTTTGGCGGAATATTTCTCCAAGATTCAATGGGCTGCGCGGCCGACGACCGTCGTCGACGACCCTTCTCCCCTCGGCCCAGCGCTGCCCGTCGAATGCGGCCGAATCAGCCCGGGGGAGGTGCGCGAGGCAGCCCGCCAGCTCAAACGGAAGAAAGCGCCAGGCAGTGACGACGTCCCGGCGGAGTTCTGGAAGACGATTTGCATGCCAGACACCCCAGCGGTGGAATGGGCTACAGCATTGTGCAACAGGTGCATGGATGAGCAGTCCGTTCCCGCAGCGCGGCACGAAGCGCTCGTCGCCGCGGTAAGGGCGACGTCGCGGACCGTGCTAACTACAGGCCAATATCCCTGCTACCGATTGGGCACAAGCTGTATGCCATGATCTTGCTTGCTCGGCCAGAGGGCGCGGGGGCAGAGCGTCGAATCTGGGGCGCGCAGTGCGGCTTCAGAAGTGGCCGCGGCACGGCGGACGCTTTATTTGTCGCCCGAAGGATGATCGAAGCTACGTGGGATTCCCGCCCCGGCCAGGTGGTCTTCTTAGCATTGGACTGGGCAAAGGCCTTCGACGGTGTATCGCCAGAGGGTTTATTGCAAGCTCTACGGCGATTTGGCGTACCCACATAATTTTCCGAATGCGCCAGGGCGAATTAGCGCCATGTTGGAGCGCTCTTGGAGCCGACGGGGGCCCTCTTGGACCGTCTCGGGGGCCTCTTGGGGTCGCCTGGGGCCGCATTGGTGCCTTTGTGGCTTGTGTTGGAGCGGGAAGCCCCAGAACATGCGTCATGTTGGTAAGGGGGATTCGAAGTGCCCGAGGACACTCAAACTCGTGCTTCAGTGCACGGTGACGGATATTCGACCGACGGAAGCACGAACTTCGTTGGCACCCGGTGGTTGCAGTTGCTTTAGACAGGCCGACCCTCCGCAAGCGGTGCAACGCCTCCCCGAGTCGTCCAGAGCAGGGATGTCGAGAAGAGGTAGAGAGCAGCTGCACAGGGAGCGCGAGGGGCAGGAGGGGACGACCTTCTCTTTCCAGGGCCAGCAACAGCATCGGCTTCCATTGCATCCAAGGTCGCTCGAAGCAGCCCGAGTCTGAACAAACGCGTCCTCGCCTCGCGAATCAGCGCCTGCTGACGCACATCAGCGGGCAATCTGGCGGCCTCCGCCGCTGCGCCCGCAGCGACATCAACTGCCGCATTCCCAGTGATCATCCACCGATGGGGGGGCCCGAGAGACAACGTGCTCCGCTTCTTTGGTGGGAGTGAGTGAAACACATAGCGTTACTGCTAACGCCCCTGCCTGGAGACCAACTGGCCCATTGCGGCCCACAGGTCGGAGTCGGGCCCAGACGGCATCTCATGCCGCCCGAGCCACCCCGAGACGGCAGCCTTACGCAGCCTGCATCACACGCTGTGTTTCCAGCCGTGGCCCAGCATGCGAACGCAAACGCCGATCCCCGCGCTGGGGGCCACTGAGGGGGCAGAACAACTGCGGGGCCAGCGCGCACGAGCTTCGATCAGGGCGCGCCATTGTTTTCCTCGCTGGCGCCCCCAGACGTCTCAAGGGCGACGACAGACAGCCCGTGGCCCAGGCAGCCTGGGCCCAGCTCGGAAACTAGGGCCACCAATTGGGTGCGAAGTGAATCGCGCCTTGCGCTTCTGGGCGATCTCAGAGCGAGGCGCGAGCCCCTCATTCTGTCCCGGGGGGGGGGGGGGGTCGGCGCGAGAGCGCGAAGATCATCGCGCTTCGCGGAGCGCGGAGCGCGAAGACAGTTGTCCTAGCGACAGGCAGCCCGCGGCCCAGGCAGCTCGGGCGCAGCTCGAGCGGCCCAGCGACCATTCAAGCCTCCTCGGCGGGCGTCGGCGGCGGCGCCGCCGCCCAGGCTGCTGGGGGCAGGCCGCGGAGCCAGCTGGCTGGCTCGGCGTCCGCCTGCGCCATTCGGCGGCGAGCGAGAAGGAGAAGGCCTTCTCAGAAGGCGGCGGGACTTCTCAGGGGCCCTCGCGGCTTTGAGGAAGGCTTCGGGCATTTCTCAGAAGGCCAGAGGCCTTCCGATCCTTCTGAGAAGGCCCGTCCCTTGCGCCGACTCTGGGCCTGGCAGGCCATGCCCTCGGCCTTGGCATGCGCCTCCTGTAATTCTAGACGCCTCGCGTAACCCCGTCAGCTTTTCTTCTTCCTCTGCGCTAATCTAGGCCGTTGCTAGTCTGCGCCGCCCTTGGCGCCGCCCGACCTTCCCCTCGCCGCTGTCGCGATCAAGCAAACAAGCCCACCAGCACATCCAGAAAAGATGCCCTGATTAGTTGCCTTGATCAGGGATGCGCAGGATAATGCAGTGTAATAAAGTGCTGGGTAAGACGTCGCCCCCCAGGAGGGATGGGATGGCGGAGGAGGAGGAGGGGGGGGAGGAGGAGGGGGAGGACGTCTCGGAGGTCTTGGCAGTCCTAGGTGCCTTTTGAGGCGTCTTGGATGCCTCTGGGGGGTCTCTTGGGGCCTCCTGGGCACCTTTTTCGGGCAGCCTTGGGGCGCCCTTGAGAGCCTCGGGGGCCACCTTGGGGCCATCCTGGAAGATATTGATCAAAGGAGGGGGGCCCCTTGCTTGGCCCCCCCCCCCCCCCGGAAGCTAGAATGTGGCCCAAACCGTAGTCGAATCAATACTTGCGTGCGTTTCTCCGAGGCCCCCCCACTCTGTAGCGAGCTGAGGGACGCGGGGAGCGGAAACGAGCGCGCGCCCGCGGCCGCGTCGGCTCAAGCGCCGGCCGCCCAAATATGACTTTGCCTCATCGCGAGGCACACGACTGTCATCTACACCAACAGGATATTCCTAATGCTTAAGATGGCACATCCTCTCCTACAGGGACTATTCGCAACCGCGGTACAACAGAGGTGGAGCTTGGCTACGCCTAAGGCGAAGCTGCTGGCTGGGTCCCCCAGCCCCTTTCAAACTTGGTTGCGGAGCTGGCCTATGGTGGTCAGCTCTAGCTCTACTCCTCGCCATCCACGGCACTATCTGGCGGAGTACGGACATGGTGGAACATCCGGGTGGAGTGGGTTTTGCGCGGAGGAATGCATATAGCTACGCATTATCGCAAGGGCACTTGCAGCGATACCTCTGCTCACGCGGAGGCCTCTTACTTACGTCCTACATTCCTGCGCTTTTACAGTCCTGAAGTCCACTCACCTCCAATTGGAAACGTATTCGAATATATATATATATAATGCATGGAAACATGCGATACGACATATTGCCCCCTCGAACCCCGTGCAGACTTACGACCGCACATCGGAGACCCCAATTGACTACATCCGACCACGACTTACGAGGTCCTTGGATTGGTACTATTATCTTTGGGCGCACATGGGTCGCTATCGGGCGTGCGGTAGGACATATGCGTGGCGGAGACGACACAAGAACGACCGGCCCTCACTGGGGCCCAGCCGGTGAAGTACCCTTTCGCGAATTCGTCCGCGAAGTACATGCCTGGATCAACGCGACCACAGGCGCTATCACGCCCTCCCAGCAGGCTGTAGTTGAGCAGCGAGGTTTGGGAGGTCTCGCACGGACCATAGCCGTGGGAGTTCTTCAGGCAGTTATCAGCTTTGGCGTGAACATAGGTGGCCGCCATGCCGACGGCGCCACCTACATCATGTTCTTCTTAAGCACGAAGTTCGAGAATTGAGAAAAGGAGCGCCAACTCAACTCTTGGTACCGCTCTCATTTGCTTCCGAGTCCATGCGGGAGAACGCATCGACCAGACGTTAGCACGTTATGATATTGCCCGTTATGAAGTTGAAGCGGCCGGCTCCCATAGCCCCAACTTCCAGATCCGAGCATCGATTTTATTCAGAGTTCTTGGAGTGGGGACATCGTGTGCACAACAACTCCTGCAGCCTCTAAACCACCGCATGCCGAGAGACCAACCACAATTTGACGCTCTACTTGAACGCGTGAGGTCATGTGCTCACATTGTTCAGAAACCCCCTGGCAGTATTGGTGGCATCTTCAGTCACGGTCACCGAACCGAGAGCTTTCACGTGGAGGCTAACGCAGGGCAGCCTGCTAACACCGTCTGGAATGATGATCCACAACCAACTGAGACCACTACACTGCTGGCTCAGAATGGTGGAACGGCCTCGGGGTCGCGAGATTCCTGGGCCAGGCTTCGGGGACCGCCTGGCGCGGCACCCCCCATGCAAGCCACGGCCCTCATGGGCTCAGCGGGGCAACCCGCCGAGTCCGACTTCGACTCCGGTACTGATACTGGTGCGTCTTCGGACCACGAAGCCACGGCCCTTGACAACTCGAATATGCCTACCTATCTCACGGAAGAGCAACGAGCGCAATGGTCATTTTTAGAATACCAGAAGCACAGGCTCCGACTGCGGAGGCCCATGAAGCAACCAGTCCGAAAGGTACGGCGTATCGCACGACGAGCACTCGAAGGAAAAGGCAACGGTCGAAGTAAGGGTAAAGGTGGGCGTCGGCGATTGCATGGTAGAGGCATATTAGCATTCCTAGCATCTCTCACTGGACCACAGCATGAAGAAATGTTTTTAGGCGCAGGCAGAAACCGCAGTCATACATCAGGAAAAAGGCAAAGGGCGCCGGGGAAACCCGAAGGATGCCAACGGTAAGACTATGGAGTGCGACATATGCCACAGTACACAGCACTTTCGCCGCGAATGCCCTCAAGGCGATGGAAGAGGCAGGGGTCCGCCAAAACATCTGGTTCAAACCGATTCCGACATTCAGTATGTTGATTGGGAGTCCTTTTTAGTTGACCCTGCCGATAGCTCAGCTGCAGTTGTCAACTTCATGGCTGCCAGACATCATAGCGCCAGTATGGCCCTCGAGAATTGCGCCGGCGATCTGTTCGAGGAGGCGTTCACTGGCCACGGCGACGTCGATCTGGCAGAATGGCTGGGCATGCCCATCGCGGGGCGACCTGCGCATGTCGAATTTGCCGAAGGAGATGCTGGCGGGGCGGGGGCGCCCGCTGATTCAGAAGTTACCATTCTTTCAGCGGGCGAGGACATGCAGTTGATGCTTTATCCTCGGGTTATTGGAAGTCCGACAGATATGGAGGTGAGTGGCGTTGATCCTTTGCGGGGGAACCCGCGAGGCGCTAGTGATCTATCAGAGCGTATTCGATATCAGCTTGGCCATGATGAAGAATTCCGATACAACTTCGTTGCTTCAGAGCAGTCCATGAGCCGCCAGAAGCGATCGACAAGCCGCCAGGTCTGGAGGAGGGAGTATCGCGCCGACGACGAGGACGACGAGTGGGAAGATAGCGATCGCATGATGCGTCGCGGTCGGATCCCCGGTCGCTCACCTGATCGCGCGCGTGCCCGCTCCAGTGGCGCTCGCTCTGGCGGTCTTCAGCGTCTTCATCCTCCTGATGCGGGAACTCTACAGGCACCGCCATGGCGGGCTAATGGGCCTGTCACACCCCCGAGTAGGGAACGCCCGCGGGGGCACCCGCCTCAAGAAGATCAGCCGCGAGAAGAATATCCGGAGAGCGGAATGCAGCGCCTTGTTGGCTACGCGGAAGTTGGATTGGCATGCCAGCACGTACCCCCAGAAACGATGATATGTTATTTGGATCAGGCTTGGACCGAGCATCGGATCCGTCACTGGTATTATTTTCGCAGTGTTAAACGAGGTCAGGACGGCAATATCATTCGCCTGACAAGGCCCGCGTCGGTTAAAACGCATCAGAAGATGGCCACGCGCAACCTCAAGAGAGCTATCTTCGAGGAACGGAAGCTCTACAGAGTCGTCTGCTCATGCCCCGAATGCGCCCCACAGGATTGGCAGTCCCATGAGGCGCCCATCTTGAAGCCCTAACCTCAAGACCTCAAGAGAACACCGTGGGTCTGGTTTCATGGTGATGGTCGCGGTTGCTGCGCCGATCTTGATGCAGCGCCATGCGAGGAGCAGTTGACGGAGGACGACTACGACCGCGCCACATTTGCTGAAAGATCCCGATCAAACCTCATATGGAAACACTCGTCACCTCTTCATCCTTTGGTGCAGTTCAATCGCGATTGGCACGCAGGGAAGCCTGCTATTCCCAAACAGGAAGAGGGCGACCAACCAGAATATGATGGAGATGAGGCTGGCGCGATGGCCGAAGAGGTAGACCCCGCGGACGCGGTCCCTGCAGGGCACGCGTCGGGCGACTCCATTGCTACGGACGGCGCGTGCAAAACGGACAACCCGATCGATCCTGAGTACGTTGTCGCAGCAGATATGGGTCTTCCTCCTGGAGGGCGGATTGTCTATCGCGCTGAAGGTGTAGGCTGGATAAAGACCAGCATAGGAAAAATGGCTGAGTTCTACAGAGTGCCTTTCGGCTGGGAAGCAAAAGGCCATGATTAATAACATGGCCCTCAGAACGCCGAGCGGCATCAACTTGAACCCCGGCCGGGGCCCCGTGCGATATGGACCATGGGTGTCGGCAGGTCGGCAGGGGCCGCGGCTAAGGCAGCTCCCGAGCCGAAGCCAGAGGCGCCTATTTATATTTCTCCATCTTCGAATTCATCGAGTCCCGCTTGGCCCTGATCAGCTCAGACCCAAGCGGAAAGGAAGAGCCCAGATGATCCAAACATTGGAGACAGTAAGCAGCAACGATATGCGTTTCAACCAGCTGGCAGACGTCGATCCAGAGGACCAGCGGTGGCTGCCGCAGCAGCTGCGTCTCAAGGCACCAGTGCTCTTCCGAGGGGCCCCGTGCCACGTCGCGGCCCTACACGGGGTCGGACGCGCAGGACTGGCAGGAAGGATCAACGAGGGGCGCTTCTTCAACAAGGCGTGGCACCGAGAAGAGGCCACTGGCAACCTCATCGAAGGCACCAGGAGTGGCCCCCAAAGATGAGACAGCTGAGTCCTACAACATCAAGGAGAAACTTCGCGTGGATTTCGACATCAGCACCCCGCCAGGGGCTCCTCGGACGCCTAGGGG